ATGCAAACAGAGTCTCCCTTCCCATATTTTATTCCCAAATTCAAGCCCTATCTTCTTTCCTTTCTCCCTCATTTCCCCTTCTCAATCCCTCTCAAGGCACCATTTCTGGCAACACAGGAATAAAGGGATCAGGCAGCAGGTTTAAAAATCTATCCAAGGCCATTTCCTTTCCCCTTGTAATTAAATTGTGGAACTCATTGTCAGGGGATGTTCTAGGAGCCATAAATACCTACGGCTTCAAAGGAGGACTGGATAAGCTCATGGAGGACAGGTCCCACTGGTAGTTGTTAAACACAGGGATCTGGAGGAAGAATTCTGATGGGAAAGTCCCTGAAACACTGGCTGCAAAAAGTCAGGATTGTCCTGTCCTCCTGGCATCTTCGTCTGGCCAGTCTCGGATGGGTGAAGCTTTGCTCTGACCCAGCCTGGCAGTTTTGATTCTCTCCTTGTTTCCATGCTCAGGGATGGCTGCAGCTCCAGTCCTCCCCTCAAACACAGAAATCCTCCTTGAAGAGTCAGGCACAGCTATTTCCAGCGGGAATTTTTTCTTATTACAGCCAAAAGCACAGCTGTGCTGTACTGCTGCTCCTTCCCCCTCACCTCTCAACAGGCTCTTTCCCTTACCCCCAAGAAGATATTTCATTCACCGGTGTGCTAAACTTCCCCCAGCAACTGGACGAGGGTCAGGACGGTGGGGTCCCACCGCAGGACGACGAGAGCATCGGTGAGCCTCGCCACAAGCTGCTGTCTGTTAAAAGAGAAGGTCCTGTTTAACTCAGCCCTTGTAAAGCAATTTACTGAGCTCCATCTCGTCCCCTCCACATCTCCGATGTCACCACCTCAATGCATCAACTCTTTTTGATCAAAACGGGCTTTTGCATTCAACTCCTTCACTCCTCACTTGGGTAGCTGGGTGCAACCAAACTGACACCATGAATGCAGTAGATATTACTCCAGTGTATGGATGCTTTTGGCTCCAACCACTGCAGGCAACACACCTTCAGCCAATGGCTTGTGGCTGATCTGAAAGGGTAAGGGCTGGTAGAGCTCTCCCACAGGGAGCTGAGGAATATTTGCCATGGACTAAAAGCTCCTGCAAGAACAGGATTAGAGAGGAGCTGATGCTCTGTAACTTCTTAAAGACAGGTGTGCTGCTAAGTCCTGGGCTCCATTCGCATCTAGGCAGCACTCAGCACAAAGTAATAGTCAACTCTAATGCACTTTCGTAATCCAAAAGCCCTCAGACCTGTAATTCACTCTCACTTGAGGCTACAATGCAAAGACAAAGTGGTAGGAAGAGGATCTTTGCCTACCCTCAAAAAAATTTATATACATATATATGTTTTGTTATTTTGCATTCACTTTATTACTGAGTGCCTCGGGTTCAGGGCACTTATGGACTCCATCAAGCTCAGGGCACCGCAGAGTCGTGCATGCTGCTGGTGAAGAGAACATCATCGTTCACATTAATGCTGTTAAGAGCTCTACAGAGTTGCTCGCGTTCTTCCATAAAAGGACCGTATGGGTCAACAGGCAGGAAAAGACAAGGATTTCTCAATGCTTATGCATCACTTGTAATATCGTTAAAAGATTAAACATATTTGTTGAGGAAAAATAAATCAGATTAAATCTCTCTTATCACTTGGAAAGAAGTACAAAGCCAAGGCCTCAGCT